TAATTTACTGAACTGGGCCCGGTTTGAGCTTTAAGTACGGCCCAATGATCTAGGGGAGGGCCTAATATGATTTATCATTCCTAATGTAATTAGGAATGGTTTTGGTCTTCTAGAACATTCTAGAAGGTCTTATCATTCTTAATTCAATTAGGATTCTTCAGAGTTTTAATTAGATCAAATAGCATTTTCGACTGAAATTATATTATTTTATCTTCCAGTACGGCAAAACTATCAGATTTTCGAAAACGCGTTAAAATCCGGTTTGGCGTCCAACCCCAGGCCTTGGCGCCTGGAATCAGGATTGGCGCCAGACGCCAGCCATTGGCGCCTGGCGCTAGCGAGTGGTCCTCGCGCCAATGAGCCAGGGCTGGTGCCAAGTTAGTTTTGTGATCTTCAGACTCTGTTTTGATAAATTATCTTTTTTGGATGTTTTTCTCTATAAATATCGTATCAAAAACTCTGTTTTCATTCACGGATTGTCAATATTCATTCACCATTCAATCATCTACATCTATCGTTCACCAATTCTTTTAATTCTTAAGTTTTAATAAACTCAATCATCAATCGTCAACAATTACTTTATGAATCATTAATCTTTTAGCATTCTTTCTAAACTTTACTCTTTAATACAAAATTCCGCATTCACAAGATCTTGATACACCTAGCCATATTCGAAGTTGTCTTCGCCCTAGACGTGAAAGGTTTTAATTTCTGAGGGTTTGGTCCCAAATCTCTATTTCAATTATTTAATTTAATTGTTTTGATTATTATTTTCCTTGAAGTTACTAACGTGTGTATTTTGTTATTAGAAAGAGGTACGAGGCATCCAAGTAAGTACTTTAATGGTTTAATTGATTTATGATGTAGATATCATGCTTAGATTGTTATTTATGATTCCTAGTATCATGTCTAGGGTATCTTTAATATCAAGTATGATTAAAAGTATGATGCTTCCTATGTTCTTTCTAATGTTTATGATTATTTATTATTATTAATGATGTTGATTATTTATTATGTTGCTTGATATGCATATTATTTTATATTGTTATTGCTTGATCACCTTTATTGCAGGTTAAAGGGAATTTGTATTTGCAACCACGCTTAATAAGATAATTAATAATCTTGTTTAGGGTTAATTGTGATTATAATTTCAAGTGATCGCCAATAATAGTTTATTTGTGCATTAAATTCAACCAACATAGATTAAACAGGTTTAGGGTTAAACCTATTGATTGTATGTTAATCAGAAAGCGCACATGAATACGAGCAGAATAAAGTAGAGGCCTATTATTAGGGCAGTTTCAATCTCTTTTAGGTTGGATTTGTACCATCATCCCCGAACCCTTATTTGGTTCATGACCTTATGGAGTTGAAGATCTCTTGGATCGTTAAGGGGTGTAACCTTCACCTCGTGATGGTTTACAAGTTCCTTAAAAACTTGTTGGCGACTCTTTTGCTCTATCTTCTTCCCTTTTGGACGCCACCGTAATTTAGTGTATGATCACAGTGGGGTTCGAGCTAGTGGGATTTTTAAGGCTTGAAAATATTCCCTACAAGAGGCTACACTATTTATCACCGTCTGTTATTGGTTTCTCTTATGGTGGTTTTGGGTGGTTGGGGAACTCCTTTGCGCAATATATTAGTGCTCTATTACAGTGAAGAGAGGTGCGGGGTGAAATTGCGGTGCTATGGTGGATGATTGGTGGGCGTTTTGCGGCTAATTTGCGGACTCGTGTGCTGGTTGAAATTGCTGACGGTGTTTCCGGCATGGTTGGGTGTTTGTTTGGGGGAAGGGAGAGAATATGGGTGGCTGAATAGTGAGCATGAGGCTGTTGGGTGGTTCGGGTTTTCAATTTGGTCGTTTCCGGCATGGGTGGGTGGGGACAGCGTTGGGAAGCATTGATGGGGGAAAAGGGAGGTGGGTGGGGACGGAGTGGTGGCTGGACGGTGGTTGGGCGCCACTAACGGAAATAGTAACAGTGTAAGACATCATGTAGTGATTTTTAACAAACTCTGATTTAGGTGGTAGAAAAGTAAAAAAAAAATAAATAAATAAATAAAAATTAACTGACAGCAAATGTGAAGCAAGGTGTTATTCCTGGTAGCAAATGTAAAAATTTCCTATCTATTAATTAAAAAATAATTTTAGTTTTGGTAATTGTAGACACCTGATTGTGTCTCCCAAAAAACCAAACCTAGTGATGGATACCTTTCACGTCATTGATGATCGAACGAAGTGAAATGTGAAAGAGTCTTGTGATGCGGTTGTTTTATTGAAAATACTTCTTTCTCTTTTTGAAAATATTCCTTTTTGTACCCTGTTTATGAAAAACGTCCAGTCTAGTTTAGTTTGGTCCATGATATGGGCCCAATAATGGTGTAGTTGGATGGGGTTTGAAAAGAACTTTCCAACGATATATTATAAGCCCAATTCCGATGAATATGAAGAAGTTATAGCCAAAATACTAAACTGGGCCCAAACCGGATTTAACTACGACCCAACGATCATGAGGAGGGTCCAAAGGCTTAATCCCATTCCTAAACTAATTAGAATTTATTAAAAGCTTCTATAAGTTTCTAAAAAAATCTTAATTATCCTTTTTTAAAGATAAGATCAAAGCATTTGAAATTGAATAAAAACTATCCGTTTTTAAAAATACTTTCCTTTTTTAAATCATAATTCTATTTGAATTTAAAGAAGTTTAAAGACAGTCAGATATTATTTTCGTGCCTCATAATCTTTATCCAAATCTTATATGGTTGGATAGATCTTGAAATTATCTTAATTCCGAGTTATAACAAAAAATATATGAAAGAAATACGAAACTCTATCCAAAACTGACACCGTCCCACTATTTTGGCCATATCTTTTTATATACAAAATATTTTAATCGGATTTTTATTGGTTTGAAAAGTAGATTTCAAGAGCTTTCCAAAAACATATTATATGCCTTATTTGGACTTATGGATCAAAATATATGATAAAAACAAAATTCGCAAAAACTGATGTCCATCAAGTTTTATTTTGATTCGAATTCGGATTCTTTTCTTATTCTTCGACTCTCTTTTTTTCCTATAAATAGAGGTCATATATCCCCTTTTCCAATCATCAACAATCATCTCTCTTCTCCCTCTAAGCTAAAACTTATTCCCTCTCTATTAGCCTTTTTACAAACACCATACCGCATTCACAAGTTCTAGACACACCTAGCCCAGTTCGAAGTTGTCTTCGCCATCGACGTGAAAGGTTGATAATTTTTTAGGGTTTGGTCCCAAATCCTATTTCAATTATTTGATTAGATTTACTGTTTAATATTTTCCTTGAAGTTACTAACGTGTGTATTGTTTTGATAGAAAGAGGTACGAGGCATCAAAGTAAGGAATTAGATTACTTCTAAATTATTCTTTTGATATAGAAAGCATGCTTAGATTTATTTAATTCCTAGAATCATATTTAGGGTATTTATTATATTTCTAGTTTCATGTTATGATGTTTTTATTGTTTTCTAGTATCATGTTTAGAGTGCTTCCTATTTCTAATATCATGTTAGTATCAAGTTATGGCTAAAGCTTTAATCTTTAATGTTTAGTGACATTCTAGGATTTGTTATTAATCATGTTAGTATCATGTCTAGGATCTTGCTATTATTATTAAGCTTTATTAAGGTTGAGATTGTTACGATGATGATTATTATTAATATCATGTTGCTTGATATATATTATTGTTATTGCTTGATCACGCCTCTTATGCAGGTTTAAAGGGAATTTGTACTTGAAATCACGCCTAATAAGATAATTAATAATTTGATTTAGGCTAATATGATTTTAATTCAAGTGATCACAAATAATAGTTTTTTTTTGTGCATTAATATTCAACCAACATAGATTAAACAGGTTTAGAGTTAACCTAATGATTCCATGTTAGTCAGAAAGCGCACATGAATACAAGAAGAATAAAGTAGAGACCTATTTTATAGGGCATGTTCAATCTCTTTTAGGTTGGTTTTGTACATTCATCCCCGAATATCCAGTCATGGTTGTAGACCACATTAATCTTTAGTGTATGATTACAGTGGGATTCAAATTTAGAATGCTTGAAATATTCCCTACAGTAATGCGACGTATTTAACATGAAACTGATTATTAATATGGCTCAAAAACCACAACTACTAATTGTAACACAAGTACATCATAATTTATTGTAAAAAAAGTACATCATAATTTATTGTAAAAAAGTACATCATAATTATTCATTTACGAAATGAAAAAAAAAAATCTCAAGTACGTAGAGTCCAAAATATGGATGCAAATATCAAGGGTCAATCCAATAAACTTAATTAAACTTACATATTATAAAATTTGTGAGATCATACAAATCACTAATTATAGAACAATCGGGAGGGGACTGGAACCTAACCACCCAGAACTGATCCCCAAATCCGGATTAGCCCAAAGGGTGAATCGGATGGAACACCAAAAAAAAAAACTAATTATAGATGTGACTCTTTGCAAACTATTTTTAATGTATCATAATTACCTATCTTGAATCTCATACTTTATTAAATTACATGACCCGAGGTATCGCGCGGGCCAACAACTAGTTTTAAAACAAAAGGCTACATTATACGCCTATGAACAACTCGTGCATTGCACAAGTCCAACGGCTAGTTCTACTTAGCAAACCCTACCATGTATATATATTTATATTATAAGGTTCTGTTCACTTCATCTTATTAAACTGAAATTATTTTTATTGAACTTAAATTATTTTTACTACACCCAAATTATATCTGTTATATTTCTTCTTTTAAATTAGTGACTTTTTTTAGGTGAATTAATCAAGGCCTAAAACCACATACATCTTGCCCAAAATTTTAATGGAAAACTATACCAATAGGATAAGGTTAGTGCCTTAGTAATAATGATCCTCTACTACGCAATGGTATATTGAAAAGCTGAATTGGGTAATTGAAAGGTTATAAGTTCAATACGCCACTACATTTGAAAGCTAAGCACGTTTATTTAGTCTTTCAATGAACATCACTTCTCAATATTTGGTCGCTTGCATTCACAGATTCTTTACATTGGCAACTCTTCTTCGAGGTAATGGACAAAGAGATCAATTTATTTTACAATTATTCAAAGGCTACATGAAATTTTTAAGACGTGATTTAACATGCAAAAAATGCTATAGATAGCACAAATATAAAAAGTGTCACCCGCTAAACCGTTTCTATGAATCTATGATTAATGAGATCGCTATACACAAATTTTTTTTTTTTTCACAATAAAGTATGCAGTACATTGTAGGTTTGTATCAAGCTTCATATTTGCGGCTGAAAGAAGTGATTGGACCTGAACAGTTGACAATATGGCCGCCTATCCTTGTAAGTTTTGTCTGTTCAGCCCCAACGACGCTGGTTCGACTTAGGAGTTACACCAGGCAACAAGAGTTGCATATTGGTTGCTACTGAACACTTTTTTCGTTTTTAGAATGGTTTCACGTAGGAACATAGTTCTCAGGGTTGCTGTTTGGCTTAACAAGGCCTTTTAGCTTCCATCCTCCAAGTCCAGATGACTCAAAAGCCTGCAAGGTGAGTATTCTAATTTATGTCAGGAATTGTTAAACAGGAATTCTAAAGAGCACAACAATCAACAAAGAGAAATTTAAAGGAACCTTTAAATTTGTTCAATCAACAAAGATAAGTGTAAAAGAAAGTTTAAATTTAGGTTATTTCTGGTGTACACAAACAACATATCATGTAAAGCTCTGAGAATAAAACTTGTTCTCCATCATCTCAATTCCAAACGCATACGTCATCATTCATAATGAACAAGGATGCATTACTTTTCAGTGCATTTCATCAATAGTTTTCTAGGCACAACGATGAATCTTAATAATTCTCTAGTCAAAACAACATATTCAAATTGAATATATAACATAGACAACTAATCCTAATCGACAAGTTGATTATATAAATACAAAGTACCAACTTCATCTATGTAGCTAAGCTTGCAAAGCATAATTAAACTAAACTATATGTTTTTTGGTTTGTTCTCTTCGGCTTATTTTCAGTTCAGTTCAGCTCCAATAAGTTCAGTTCAGTTCTTATCTTAATTTCCTTCTCTCATAAAATATTCAGTTAAGTTAAGTTCAATTCAGTTCAGTTCAGAACACGCCCTTTATCCAATGTTTACTAAGCAGAGTATAATTGAAAACAATAGAACAATTGCCAACCAAATAAGCATTTACAACATTAGTAAACGCTTGAATTGGACATAAAATCACCAAGATATAGAAGCAAAACCTTAAGTATATTATATCTCATACCCCACTAAGTCATACAGAATCCTTCCTGAGCTCATAATTCCTTTATTCAAGTTAATATAACAAAGACTGAAATTTTTAATTTTCATGTCTATCTTGTATATTCAAATGGTTCCCAACCTTCTTCCTCTCTTTCACTTTTTACACTTAGCTACGAATGTGAGCCACTAATAACCTGAAGAGTTAACAAATTGACCTGTAAAACTAAACAGCCTAACTCTGGTCTCTAGATTTTTATCCATCTACAATCTACTAATAGCCAATATACATGATCGAAAACTGCTGGCATTGAGAAATAAAATACACTGGTTAAAACAAAGTGAGACTTGAAATTTTTCATAATCTAGTTGCAAACCTACTTTTTGTTACAAATTAGTCTTCATGTTCTTGGAATCCAACTTTTAACAAAAAGTATTGACATGTACAGCAAAAGATCAAGTTGGTTGAAAACTATATGGGCCTTCATCGTTGGTGTGACAGCCAAGACCCGTAATGGATCTTTGCTCTGGTTGCTAAAAGCAGTATTATCATCTAATTATTCATTGGAACAAAAAATTGAGTAAATATAAGAGATCTTACCTCTTCCCAGGATTTCCCAGTGGCTTCAAGCAAAGCAGCATTGCACGTATCCAATTCAATTACTGAACCAGTGAATGTGGAGGCTGCTTCCTCCCATCCTTTGTTATGTCCCATACACCTAAAAGAAATTTGGTTATATTTGTGATTCATTCAACTTATTACTTAGTTATTCTAGGATTAGAATGAAATTGAAAATAGGATACAGACAAACTTATTTTTCTTACACATCATCTCATGTAATGCATCATTAAATCCAGACTCTATGCTATTGGCCAAATTAGCAGTACCTTGGACCTTTCGTGCTAAACTTAAGATGATACAGGTACAAAATTCCAAACTCTACTCGAAATGAGATATGATTTTATTTATCAAGCTAATCAAAGAAGTATCTACAATTTTAAATAAATTTATCTAACATGTATCCCCCTTAATTTATCTTTTTGTTTCGTCTTTTTATCCTCTAGCTTTTTTCCCTAATTTCCCATTTTCCTACCTCTTCCCCTTCATCAACCCCCCTTAAACGTTCAACACTAATACCAACATTTAATTCAAAAATTCAGTTAACTTTCAATTTGATTTCTTAGTTAATTTACTAGAATTCCGTTCACCAATCTTTCCAACTATGTTTCAACCAATTCAATTAGAACCAAACAGGTAAGGTTTAATAGCCAAGAAAATTGATTTTTTTTTTTTTTTAAATCTAAGAAAAATAAATTCTCTTAAGCATTTGAACATGAGGTGATAATGCCTTGGTAGAGGTGGACTGAGTCCTGTGCTTTTTGTCGCCTCCTGTACTGCCCATGGCATGGTCAAGGTGTTTTGGTTTGCACCTAGGCGCACTTTTTAAAATATAGGACAAACCTCATATATTATCTCACCCATAATATTTATGCCTTTCCATTCTCTCTCCTTTTCAATATTCATAGATTGATTCACTTCATTTGGAATCTGAATTGGAACCATAACTTACTACATGTATATAAGGTTACAAGAGAATTATCAAATGTTTATCAACCGTGCTTAATATATGCGGTCAGAAGTATATATTCCAGAAAAGGGCATGAGAAACGCATGCAGTAAATTAACTCACATAACCGTAAAAATGTCATCTGAAGAGAATTTGCAAATCATCTTTTGAAGGTGTTCCGCAGTCTGCCTATCCATAGCAGCAATCGAGTAAAAACTAGGAATGAAATGTACAGCAGCCTGTAAGAACCCCCTGACTTGCTCTTGCATAACCAAGAGTGTCTCTCTTGTCCTCGTTGCATCACTGCCAGAAAGAAAGAAAAGTGTTATCAGAAAAATGAGTAAGCTGCTTCTGAGTAGATATAATATGGAAATAATAAAACATTAGTTCATAAGAAATAACAAACCTGCATAAGATCAGCTCAGGGACCCAACCTAAGAGTTGAAGTCTGTATGAGACGTCAGCAGCATCAGCACGACCAGCTTTACTCAGTGGACGATCATGATCTAACAAAATAATGATATCAAAGCAAGATTTAGGAATCTTGTCTGTTTGTCTTAGTTATTTCAATAAGCTGATAGCATTAGTTATTAAAAATACTACATCCGTTTCATATAATGTGCAACAAAGCGCTTGCTATGGATTCCTAGGCAAAAATTGTTTTTAAGTGTTAAATGGAGAGAGAAAGATAAAGATACATGTGATGAAGATAGAGATTGAGAGAAATAACAACTAGAAAGAAAAAAAAAACACATTTGTGGCACATAATGTGTAGAATCCATTTTTAGTAAATGCCCCACATAATATGGAACAGTGGTAATAAATCTAATCTAATATATATAAATAAAGTAGGCATTTTTGGAGAGCATTGGGAGCGCCACATAATAAAAGGTATATTTTCGACCTATCAAAAATTAGATTTTTATTTTATTTTAGAATTAAAAAAATCACTCGCCACCTAAACAAAAGTGACGAATAAAATTTTAAATTTTTGTCACGTAAGTAAAAACGACGAATAGTAATTTATTAGGATTTTATTTATTTAAGAACACTAAATTTTATCATTTTTATTTGTAACAAAACTAAAAATTATCTTTAGATATTAGGATTTATATTATTTAAAAAACTAAAAATTACATTTTGATATTTAATTAAAAAATATAAATTATCACTTAATGTTAATGGTTTTAAGTAAAAACGACGAATAGTAATTTATTAGGATTTTATTTATTTAAGAACACTAAATTTTATCATTTTTATTTGTAACAAAACTAAAAATTATCTTTAGATATTAGGATTTATATTATTCAAAAAACTAAAAATTATATTTTGATATTTAATTAAAAAATATAAATTATCACTTGATGTTAATGGTTTTATGTATATATCTGATGATATATATGATACTTTCATGCAAAATTTTTGAAACTTATAATGCAAGAAACCAAAAAAATATTTATATACAAAATGTATATAAAAATTTGTGCATCACACACCACATAAGCAAAAGTAATATTTCGACCAATGAAAAATTAGATTTATATATTAATTTAGAATTTTAATTTTCAGTGCCCATTTAAGAAAAAATTAACAAATGAAATTTGAGAATTGAAAAACAAAAATTAGTAATTTAAGATTTAAATTATGAAAAAAAAAAAACAAAAATTATCTTTTACATTAGGATTTATATCATTTTAACAAATAATTAGAAATTAAAAATATATTTTGATTTAATGATGAATGAGATAATATTTATTTCAATTTATAAATTCAAATTCTGTATACATAAAACTTAACAAAATAGAAATTCTGTATACCTTAAATTAATTTAGAAATTCTGTATACCTTAAATTAATGTTAAAATAATAGAATAGAAAATAAAAACAAAAAATATTAAGAAATGACAAAAAAAATATACAAAATGATATATTTAAAAACCGTGCATCGCACGGTATTACATCTAGTATATAAACAAAGTAGACATTTTTCGAGAGCATTTGGCGCACTACATAAGCAAAGGTGTTTTTTTCGACCAATTAAAAATTAGATTTGTATTTTATCTTAGATTTTAAAAAAAATCAATCGTCGCCTAAGCAAAATTAACGAATGAGACTTAAGAATTTTAATATTTAGGTAAAAACAATGAATAGTAATTTATTAATATTTTAATTTTTTTAAAAAGCTAAAACTTGTCTTTTTTAAAAGAACTAAAAATTATCTTTAGATATTAAAATTTATATTATTTCAAAAACTAAAAATTATACAAAATGATTTATTAAAAAGATCGTGCATCGCAACCGTATTATTAGACCAATGACAAAATTAGATTTACATTTTATTTTAGAATTGAAAAATTCACTCGCCACCTAAGAAAATTAACAAATGAAATTTAACAATTTAAATTTAATCTACACATATTTGAAAAACAATGAATAGTGATTGATGCAAATTTTCAATAAATTGTTATGAGAATTTTATTTACTCTTAATCAATTCAAGTGTCATCAGCGAATAAAATCACATTTTTTATTACATTAAACAAATAAAATTATACATTTTCGATAAAAATTTAATCACAATATTAATAATAAAAAAATAGTTAACTTATAAAATAAAAATCACGTTCAATAAAAATTATATAAATTGAAAATTGTGAAAATCAAGTTCTTTCAAAAATTGAAAATAAAGTTCAATTTTGGATTACATCTATTAACTATTACTAAAACAAAACGTTGCTAACGTCATCACTGTCCACATGCCATTCTAATAAAAAAAATCCCCGCCTAAATACAAGGATGATGTCATCTTCCATTTTTTTATTTTTTTTTTGTTGTTGTGGAGGTACCATATATAACAATCATGAAATTTGAATATTAAAAACTTCTACATTACAACTACAACCTATCAACTTATCCTAGAAATGAAACAATTGTAAATAGCACACTAATAAATGAACTCCTACATTGAAATTTGTATTAGAAGTCGTTGAACAAGTATTTATATCATAATTTTGATAAAAATCTATAATTATAATAAAATTTGTACAAAGTGCATAATTCTTATTTATATTTATTTATTCATTATTTTTTAAAATATACAGATTATAAAAAATAGATTTTATATAAACCGTGCATCACACGGGTTCTAACCTAGTAACTATATAAAATAAGAAGATTGATTGTTAGCTGTCATAAAGAAGTATATAGAGTAGCAAATTAATGAAAAAGCGGACAAGCATATAGAAAAAGCTACTCTAACAGCTTTTTCATTCTTAGCTCAGGCACCTTAAGGACCTTAACTACATTACCAAGCTAAAATCCAAAAGGCAACTATAAAGTAGACAAAAAGCCATTGCTAAAATTCAAAAATGAAATGAGTGAGGTAAGAAGAAATTGAATAATAATATGGGGAAAAAGGAAGTTTATGACAAAAAAGTATACTCCTTCCAAATAATTTGTTGCATATGCTTTTAGAGGGTCAGTGTATACAAGCTTTATCAGTATTATTTCACTAATATATGAGAAATAATATTATCAAGTGTAATCTAATTAGACTTCTCATTACGAATTCCTGATATCAACTTTTGATAAGACTAATAGGTACTTTTGTAGTGACTTGTGAGGAGGGAGCTTGACGTCGAAATATGCCCCTTGACTATACTTTTTCGGTGCAAACCATCACACTTGTGGCACGTGATGCTTTAATAAAAGACCATTTCGTTTTTTTTTCCCCACATTTTTACTTTTTCCTCTCTTTCTATCGTCAAGATTTCTCTCAAAATCCTACTCTTTCCTCAAAATCATGGGAAAAACAAACGAAGGAAAAGACATTTTTTAAACATTACGTGCATTTCACATGATGATCAACTTCGGAAAAGTGAAGTCAGCGACCATATTCTAATGTCAAGGTCTCTCCTCACAGCAAAAATGACTTATAAGGACCTTTTTCACCACTTTGAACATATGAGGTCCTTCACAAAAAAGTGAACATATAAGTACCTTTTGGACAAATTAATACATAATTTGAGAACTTTAACAGCCAAATTGTGTCTTTTTCTCTAAGTCCATGAAAAGGCAAATGTAGTAAAAAGAGGGGAAAGAAGACATTAAGTATTATAAGCAAAAGAAAAAGAATAAGATGAAAAACCAAAATCAAATGATACACAAGCCAAATAAAACTCCCAACCTAAGCATACATATCAAATACCCTTGCCAACAAGGCAATGGTACTTTTTGTTACAAAAATATAAAACAATAGTTGTCACGCCTTAGTTTAGACATCTCAAGATTTTGTTTTATGCAACTAGTCCGACCCAAAAATTCTTTTTTATTTCAGCAAATACTAAGAAGACCTTGCTACAATAGGATCAAGTACAATTAATATAAATGTGATATTGTGAATGTGTGATTTTTTCCAATTATTATGTTATGACTACTGCACAAAAGTATTCATTTTCAGAGCACTAACCTAGTCAACAGGAAATATAAATGAAACAACCTAATTAGTTTAAACAAAGTCAGAAAAGTCCATAGTTAACATGAAGCTTGCATAATATGCAAAAGAGGGTCAAAGATTAGGAGTTTAGCAGTGACATCAAATGTTAAACCAGAAAGTAGGAAGGCGTCTTCAAAATCTTAGAGTAGGCTTGTAGCAGAAAAAAAACAATTAAAATGTGTACATGGGTCAACCAATCATATAATAGCATCAATTATAATTAGACACTTTAATCCGCACTCATTTTTGCAGTTAGTCACTTTATTTGGGGCAAGGAAGTTTCGATGATAGCTTGGTTACCCTTATATTCATCCCAAGAAGATCCAAAGAGCTCGTGCCTCGTGGTATGGTAACAATCCAACTGTAAGTAGAGGTCCAAGGTGGTTTAAACTTTCAGAAAGGAGAAATAAGTTAGCTAAACTAATGTAGTTTCAAAAAGCCATGTTTATACCCTCGATTAAAAGACGTGTAAGGGATAGAGTAAAAAAACTTTCAGACGGGAGCAGTAAGTGACTAAACAATTCACTAAGCCATGGTGAAAGCTTTAATGAAGTGATGAATTAAAAAAACTACTGTCAAACAGCATTAGGCATGTATGGAACAACACCTTGAGACCTTCAAAAATATTATAATGTTCCAACATTTAGCTAAGCACAAATGTTTTAGGAGAAAAAGAATTGTGGATTGATTACCCCGTAAAGAATGATCATTCCATGAGCTCTCCGCATGACGCAATAGAATCAGACGACGGGTTACAGATTTTGAGGGGGTCTTCGCCAGAGCAGAGCTGTCAACATTGCCAAGAATTTGAGACACATAAGGCAGGCGTTTTACTTTCTTTTGGATAAGTGGACAAGGAAAGAATGAAGGTGACGAAGAAGAGAATAAGGAGGATCTAAGAGGCGTGCAGTAGAGTGCAGCTTCCATAGTAATTTCCAAATTCTGGCTTATGCCCACATAATCCTCCTTATCACCTGATAACTATATAAGCTGACTCTGCTAAGTCAAGCCCTCAAACTGTATGCAAACAAACAAGAAGTTCATCAGAAAAAGGTTACTCAGACACGTATTACTTATACAAACTATATCTCAATCAGGCAAGGCAATTAGAGTTCAATTGGCATTTATCTTTAGATGGTGACATTAATCAAGACTGCTTATAAGAAAGACAAAGGCCATGTTTGGTAATTGGCTTTTTAATGGCTTTTTGGTAAGTTTTTGGCTTTTGGCTTTTTTAGGTGGTCAAACAGCCAAAAAAATGTGTTTGATAATTAGCTTTTTAGTCAGCGAAAAAGCTGGCTTTTAAGCCAAAATGAAAAAGCTGCTTTGAGTAGCTTTTTTGTTGGCTTTTGGCTTGTTGGCCTACAAATTATCTAATAAACAGGCAACAACCGACAATTAATTTACCAAACACTTTTATAAACAACCAGCTTAAACAGTCAATTTCAAAAGCCATTATAAACAGCCAAACATTCCAGCTAGTCAAACAAGCCAAGTGAACCAGCCACCAGCCAACCACCAACAACCATTTTCCAAATAAGGCCAAAATGCAACATCACCACGCCACTTTTGCCGTATGCTACCATCCCCTAGCAATTCATGCCAATTTTAGATGGTACTAGTATATACGTCCTTAGTTCTTTCATTATTGAAACATGTAGGTGAAGCACAATATTTTAGCAGACCATGTGATGGTGAGAGAGATATAAAGAAATAACACAATGTACCTATATGGATATAGAGAAAGATCTAGAGGAATCACGTGCACATAAGAAAACATTGCAATAAATAAGAAACTTCCATAAAAGGAAAATTTTAGGACATATTCTTAAAAGGTTTTATATAGTACATTGAAGATCTAAAGTTTTAAAGGTTCCTAATAAAGAGGATAAAGGTTCATAATACATCACAACTTTACCCCTCTTGTCTTTTGCTGTTTATCACGAATGAAAATTAAAGATCAGATTACATGATGCAAGAAACCTGATACAAAATCTAAAACAAGCACTTGAAGCACAGAAATAAAGAAAATAAATTCAGACCCACAACGAGTCTTAAGGATAACTTACTTCAGTACTTCTAAGATTCTTCCACCATAAAAAATAAAAAATAAAAAAAATCCAAAACAGCTTAACATACACAATAAAAGAATTTGTCCCTTATTAGTAATCCCTGCCCCAATCCCCCAAGAAAACAAGATACCTAATAATAATCCAATCATGCTCTAGGATACAGTTATCAAACAAAGGACAATAATTTGGCGATTCCAATGAACCAGTCACATTTTGTAGGGCCAAAGTGGACCGCAGGTCAACATAGGGTGAAGCGATAAACCCAACTACACACTCAGCCACCATGTGTGAAATATACAACCACCTCAATTCATTAGTCTTTGCTATGCAGCAAGTATTCATCCGTATGAGGTATTGATCACTAAAGTTTTTTCTTACAATTATAATGGTATTGTTTTGTGTACCATTTTGAAGGTATATAATACCATCCTCTGCACAATATGCTCATCCTTTTGAAGGTAACTTTTCATTCCCATCTTTTATTAATAATCAGAGAGTTGTAGTTGATTTCATTTCATATGGTACTGCAATGTGACGCATAAAGTCAATCAACAAATAATTGATTAATCCTTTTGATACATTTTTTCAACTATCTACTTCTCCCAAGGGTAATAGCAATAGATAACGAGAGTTGTTCGGTGTTGACAGAGACGAATAGAATCTAAACTAAATTTCTTTAGTCAATGACTACTATCTCGAGCCGAGGAAACAAACCCAATAAATTAATGACCACATGAATCGGTTACAATACTCAATAACCAAAACAAGAATTGCTTACTAAACCGCTCGTAAAAGATAAAAAAAATTCATTGAAATTGAAGTCAAAAGAATCATATAATGGATTGAAATTCTAACAAAAACCCATGTAATATATAACAAAATTGAACCAAAAATACTCCATTCTAGATAATACAGAACCCATAAAAAGTAGAGCAGATCTAAGAATAAGAGGAAATTAAACAAAACAGAGAGATACAACAATAATGTTATACATATTAAATCAACAATAATGTCTTCAATTATACGAAGTAATTCATATGGCATGAGTCAACCTATAAATTTATCTTTCGTGCTATGAGCCTATGATTGTAACCCACATAAAAAACACATGCATTATCCCAATTCAAGAAACAGCAAACTGTAATTTTTTTTTTTTTTTTTTTTTTTTTTTTTTGGAAACCAGCAAACTGTAAATTTAACACAATCTCAATTAAAATTATTCAACACAGAAATAATCTAACAACTAATAGAGAAAAAAAAAAGTCAGAATAATTGCACGCATTTGGGATTTTACATTGAAACACTACAGTAAAAAAATAGGGCTTTTGCATAATCAATCAATTTCAAATGACTTTTCATTAATCGACTTCAATTTACCATGGAACCCAGATTAAAAGCAATAATCGGACAAAAAATACAATAAAAACCCTAAAATCTGCAATTGGAAAAATAATGAGTCAAGCGAACTAACCTGAGAGGAGATGTAACGGTGGCAGCAAATGAATTGCGACGGTGAACGAAGAAACGTGAAATGGATAGAAATTGAGATAAACTGTGCCTTCTGCTTTAAGTATTTTTTATTTTTTTTTATAAGATTAATATTACAAGTAATTTTTTTTTTTCGGGAGAGAGAAGTGCCGCATGCGTATTGATTTCGGCCGTGTTTGGTTATCAGCGTTTTGAAAACAGCTTTTTTTTAAGCACAATTAGGCCTCGTTCTTTAGAGCGGCTCGACTCTGCTTTACTCTGCTCTGTTCTGTTCTGCTCTGCTCAAATTAAATTTGTTCTGCTCTAAAGAAATATGCTCGGCTCTGCTCTGCTCTGCTTAATTTTCAAATAATAATTAGGAAAATTTGTAAATTACTATCCATAAAGGGGTTCTATTTTGAAATTACCACCCATTAAAACTTTTATTTTAAATAACCACCCATTAAATTAAAAAAACATTTCAGTTGACCACCTTTTTTGAAATTCCGGTGGAAAATCCGGTTGAGGGGCCCACCTTATTAACTTCCTTCCTTTTTTTTTCATTTCCCTTAACCTAACCTTCTGATTGAAACATTAAACTCAAAAAAACGTCTTCTCTCATCAAGTTTTTTAATTAATTCATCCAAAAGCATCAATCTTTCCCTTTTTCTTCCTTTGATTCTCTGTCAACTTTGCAACTATCCCTTAAGGGTTGAATCAGAACCCTAACTTTTTTTTTTCTGCAAATTGGGACCCTATTTTTTTTAAGACAATTGGGACCCTATTTGTACTTGCATTTGCTGTTGAAGTCGCCATCTTAGTGTGTTTTCTGGGGACCAAAAGCGCGTAGGTGAAGCTCCTGTCAAATGCTGATGTCAATGGCGACCCCTGAGGTAAGCAATTGGGACCCTTTACAATTTCAGACATGTAGCCTAATTGCAAACCCCCCCCCCCCCAATTTTAAAGCCCTAGGAATCCTAATTCAAAAATTGCAGAAACCCTTAATTTTATTACCCCAGAAACCCTAATTTCAAAATTTCAGACATGTACCAGCTACAATTTGGATGAAATTTGGGGCAAAAGTTGTGAATTAATGTTGGATAATTTATAAAGAAAAAAAATCGAGGAAGGAAACATTCAAAAGAGCCAAATTCGTCGTTTTTAGCTGTTATGTGGGACCCTCAAACGGATTTACCACCGAAATTACAAAAAAGGTGGTAATGTGAAAACTTTTTTAATTTAATGGGTGGTTATTTAAAATAAAAGTTTTAATGGGTGGTAATTTCAAAACATGACCCCTTTTTGGATGGTAATTTACAAATTTTCCTAATAATTAATAATAACAACAATAATAATTAATATTGTATTAATGACAATAATTTATTATTTAGAATAATTATAATAATTATTAATATTAAAAATAATTTTAATAATTAACAATAATAATAATAATAATTTTAATAATTAATAATAATTTTAATAACTAATAAAAATAATAATAATTTTAATAATAATTAATAATAATGATTTTAATAATTAATAATAATAATAATTTTAATAATAATAATAATAATAATTATTATTATTAATGATAATAATAATAATAAATATTATTATTATTATTAATTTTAATATTAATAATAATAATAATTATTAATAATTTTAATAATTAATAATAATTTTAATAATTAATAATTATTATTATTATTATTAATTAATAATAATAATAATTTTAATAATTAATAATAATAATTATTATTATTATTATTATTAATTAATTAATAATAATAATAATTTTAATTATTATTATTATTATTATTAATTTTAATAATTAATAATAATAATTTTAATAATAAATAATAATAATAATAATAATAATAATAAAAACATTAATAATAATAACATTAATAATAGTATTAATAATAATGTTGAAATCTGATCTACTCGGCTCGGCTCTACTCTGCTCTGCTCGGCTATCCTGAAATCTGCTCTGCTCTGCTGAAATTTAAGTGGATTGCTAAACATCGCCCGCAAATCTCCACATAAAGCCCACAAACTTATATTGAAGTTACAATATTGCCCTTGACCTTAAAAAAAAAACACAACCTCAATAAAAATCAAAGTACGGGGATGTCGAGGCTCGTGGCGGCAAGGTGGTTGGCTCGTGGCGGCAAGGTAGTGGTGGCTCGTGGCGGCAAGGTGGTGGTGGCGCCAGGTCCGGCAGCCACGTCCACCGGCCTGGCGTCTGGGCAGGACGCCCAGCCACGGTGAGTGGCGTTTGGGACAGGCGCCAGGCCGGTGGACGTGGCTGCCGGACCTGGCGCCACCACCAGCCACGGGCCGTCCTGGCCAGGCGCCCCAGCTACCTTAAATTATTTTTTTTTAACTTTTTTTTTTTTTTTTTTTGGAAAATCTAAAAAATTTTCTCCGGCCTATCTCCGGCGACCCTCGCCTCTCCGGCCTCCCTGGGCAACCCAGTACGACTCCACATTTGTTAGATCGAGATTTGTTCACTTTGGGTACGATTTTAGAAATGGGAAAAATTGTCAAACCATGTCTAATTTGTGGGCTTTATGTGGAGATTTGCGGGCGATGTTTAACAAATCCCAAATTTAATTTGCTCTGTTGACCCCTGCTTTGCTCTGCTCTGCCCAGAAGCTCAAAAGAACAGGGCCTTAGAGGGTTTGACCAAACCAATCATTTAATTGAGGTATTTGGTGAGCAGCATATTACATTAGCTGATTGGTATGAATCAGCTTATTTTGAAAACGCTCCAAACCCCAGCGTATTCAAAATAGTTGATTTGATTACCTTGCATAATTACACAAATGCCCAAATATCACAGAAACAAATCACCCTTCTCTCTAGAAATTAATAAGAAAAATTTAATTAATAGAAAATTAAGCAAAATCAGTGAAAGGGGTAAACGGATTACAATAGGGATGTCAGTGGGGCGGGTCAAGTAGGAGACCCGTCCCATTCCCGCCCCAGTGGGGCGGGGATAGGTCTTGGTTTGGTAGGTGGTGGGGCGGGGATGGGGATAAAAATCATACCCACCATGGGTGATGGGCGGGGGTGGATTTACATTGTACCCGCCCCATCCCCGCCCCGCTCCACCCGCCCCACTTCGTACCCACCTTATCCCCACCTTACACCCAGATCTATATATTTTATAAAACAAAATTATATACTTTTATACTATTTTATACATAAAAAAAATATGTAAAATAAAATAGTAGATATAATAATTTGTACTACACTAATTTTATAACTAAAAAAAGTGTGTAATATTAATAATAATTTTATTTGTTGTAATTTATACGTAATATTAAATATGTTGGATTGTGTATTGGGAGGTGGGTTTTAATTAAGTAGGGATTAGGCGGGTCTTAGGTGGGGATTAAGTGGGGATGAATATCCAAGTGGGGGATGGGGCGGGGATGGGGATGAATTTTGGACCGCCGCGGGGATAGGGGCGGAAATAGGGATGAAAATTTTAGGTGGGGATGGGGATGGGAAGGCCAACATCCGCCCCATTAACATCCCTAGATTACAATAACAATTATCATTAACAATAATCCAAAAAAAAAAACAACCAAACAAACCTATTGTTTAGGGTAAAAATTACCCATGACAAATGGACCAATCCGGACCTGCCACGTGTCCACCACGTGGGCCAATCAGCGTCCGCCATTTGTCACCCTAAGAGGTCCAACATGGACTAATCAGGCCACGCCACGTGGCCTCCCATATGCCAAATAGGCAAAATGGCCACCAAGGCCCAAAGTCCGAGAGAAGCTCAATTTTCCCTGGTTAACCTAAACCTAAAATTGGCACGCTTCTCAAGACTATAAATACATAATTAATCCTCATTAAAGGGGATTCAGCAATTGATGACTCTCACCTAGAGAAGTCTAAACACATTGATCACTCCTCCCCTAGAGGAACCAGATCTCCCACCTTTACTTTCCGCATTTATCACTCCTCAAACAAGTACTAACTTGACCGTTGGAGGCGGAGCTCCCACCACAAGGAGTCTCCGTTGTTTTGCAGGTACAGGCGCAAGGATACCAGTCCCGGAATTGTAACTCTCCCGCAGGACATCAGAAAACCCTGAAACATTTTGGCGCCGTCTGTGGGGAGAGTACTTCTGAGATGGCATCCACGTCTGTACCGACTCGAGAAGAGAGGCGTCCCCTAGACGACCCTCAAGTTCAGTCGGACCATGATACTGAGGAAGAATTTAAAGTTGAAGCTCACACAGCTTCAGACGGGACCCTAAGGGCCCGGCGCACCAGTCCTACCGAAAGGAGGGAACGAGAGGCTGGTCCCAGTCGGCCAGCCGGCCCACCGCCTGAGACTCAGCAGGCGGCCGAAGGATCTGCTCCTATTACTAGGACAGAACTCATGACTCTCATGATTACTTTCAAGGGAAAGATCCAAGAGCTTGTCAATAAAAAGGCGACTGCTCCACCAAAGGAACAGTCGGCCAGATCAAACAACTCCCAGTTGAAGTTACATGCGCCTCGCATGAAACTACTGGGTACAACCGGCAATATACCAGCCTCCGAGCATCCGGCCAGGCGGCCAACTACTGCAGGCGTCATACGGCCGAATGCAAAGAGTCAGACGGTCAAGCTTGTAAGCTATTTATTATTATCATATCATTATTATGATGGTAAAAAAAATAAAAATAAAATAAAAGAGGCTATTGGCAGAATGGCTTGGAATGCCGAGCTAAAAGAGATTCCGTGCATACAATGTCAATGTTTTGGGAAGAACCGCCATCCCTCATATGAAATCACAAGTGAGCTCAATCTGAGAGTATGAAGCTCCATGCAAACAGGCAGCAGCATGACTCAATGAGCAGCCAACACTATACAAGCCCCAAGCAGTCGGCCTTGTGTACTAAGCGCAGGAAAAAGGGGGCTAGTGATGTGTGGGAGTCTTATGTGTTTAATCATCATATGCAAATAAACAAAGCTCACCCTAAAACAGCCGGCTTATCATTATGTTACCCAATGCCGATCAAGTAAAGTTTGTTCTTGTGTGAAAAATAGCATGAGTCTATTGCAATATCGAGGCACAAATGGCATTATCATGCGAGACAAAGGCAGCGTAACAAAAACGTGTGTGTGTTGATATGCATGGCTGAACGCAAGGTGTAATAGGCGGCCACAAGTGCTCTTCAAGACGGCAGCCGGCCCCATCCCAGTCACAAAAACATCCAGCCATGTGCGGCACTTAACGCAACAAGCCACCATCAAAACAGCAGGCACTCGGTTGAAAGAACATAAGCTAATGTGGGTCTTCATGCTTTTGTAATGAGGGCCGAGTATTCTGATCATTTTGG